GGCCAAACAACAACACCAGACTCAAAGGAGCTCAGTCGATTGGTGAAAATACGCCTTTGTGGTGTTTCAAGGGACAAAGGACCTCTCCACCACCTGCCCCAGTTTAACAGTGCACCATTTGTGTTGTTGTTGCAAAAGTAAAGGTTTTTTGCTAAGGCCTAAACTTCTGAAATCGGCAGTGCATGGTTTTTCCACTCAAAGACGCTTCACATGTCATTATTCTTTCACTCCATACACAGTGATGATAAGCTACAACAGTAGCCACAGCTGCCCTGGGGCACATGGACAGAAGCGAGGCAACCAGTATGTGCCATCAGCCCCTCCGACCACCACCAACCAGCACACACACCAGACTCATTCTAGACAGTGTGGGTGAAGGACACAAGGACAGTTTGACGCATTACAGCCGCAGCCGCCCCACTGTGCCCCCTGGTGTTCCCAGAGGTCTCCCATCACACTACTAACCAGGCCCTGCACAATTTCAGAAGTCTGATGGGATCTGGCTTTTGCATACAAGTTTGGCTACTTCCACTGCTTATGAAGCTAAAGGCGCAGCTTCAGACTGAAAGACCGAGTGCAAATTCCCCTTTCCAAGCCTGCAAAGCACACAGCTCTGCCAGTTTCGAGCCTCAGCCAATCACACAGCTCTGCAAGCCTCGAGCCTCAGCCAATCACACAGCTCTGCAAGCCTCGAGCCTCAGCCAATCACACAGCTCTGCAAGCCTCGAGCCTCAGCCAATCACACAGCCCGGCCAGCCTCCTGCCAACCCTCTCACAGCAAAGCGGGCAGTTTAAAAGGCTGCCACTTCCTGACAAGCAACGCTTCCTGAGGCTCTTAAACACCCACCACCTCCCCAGCACCTCCTCTGGCTCCCGCTCTGGCTCCCGCTCTAGGCTCCCCCTCTGCCCACGCCCCATTCACACCATATTCTAGCCACCACCAGTGCTTGACCCCGGGGGGATTGAGATCATCTTCAGCTGCAATCGATCTCATAGCTGCAAGTGTCAATGCCGGGGTCAATGCGCCAAACAAATAAATAATTTTATTGCATTAATTGTGTCTTTGGTCTCTTCAGATTGAACTACTACTGCTACAATTGTGGGACAAATTACCACAACTCTAAAGCACTTTGTGACTCTGGTCTGTGAAAGGCGCCATATAAATAAATGACTTAATGGTTTTCCTTCTATTTTCCTATTTCAGCCTTTCTCTTTCTCCTGTTTTTATGTATCTTTTATATATTCTTGGTATTTTTTAGATCATTGATGTGGAACGCTCAGACCGCTAGACCAATTAGTATTATTCCAATTATTACATTCTGAGTGAAATGTTCAGAATAAATGTGGTTGTTTTCAAGTTAAGTTTGACAATGATGTATAACAAGCCAAATCAGCCCAGAATTAACCTCCCACAGTCCACAGTCGAGGGGTCCGCATACCCCCACTTGGGAAACATAGATATGAACTATAGCTAATAGGATGAAATTGTCTCCTTCTCTCTCGTGGCTTGTAACGCGTCCACTTAAATGGTCAATTTCCTTGTATGCCAGACAGAGCATGGACTTAACGCATTCCCATTAGACCTGCGAAAAGGCAAGAACAAACTCACCGTTTTCATCCGTGAAGCCGCTCACGGCCGAGATCTTCAGGCTGATTCCGTGACCTCTTTTGGAAGATTGCACACGTCTTTTTCTTTCATATTACGTTCCAAGGAATATACGCTAATGAACCTGGGTGCACTTCTTACGCAGCCTGCAACGACTCCCAGGAGGGTTTGCGCTCGGGTAAGCATGCCGAGACTATATCGGGAAAGACTGACGCGAGATCGGAAGTTTAAACGGCACGAAACGGCGGTCAATCGGAGATAATCTTAAACGTGAGAGTCTGGGGCAGTTCTGAAAGGGAAAAGACGCATGTGGGAATGGTTAGTGTATCCAAAGTCAAGCTCGGTTGTGATGGGAGATTAAGTTGTGTTTCTGAGGTTCCCGCGTTTCTTTGTGCTGAGTGGGAGAGATGGGAAATCAAACGTGTCACAATCGAGCAGGGGCATCCACAATCTGATATCAAGAACTGATTTTTGAGTTCCTAACCCCAACCCAGTTTCCCCTGATTGGTTGACTATAAAATTGGTGCCAAGTAAGCCATTCTTGAACTCTTGGTATTCAAACCTAGGTTAAAACAGTCCTGTTTAGCTTTGCCTACAACTGAAGGATTGTAGCTTACTATTTTTTATGTAATGCAATTATTTATTCATAAGTTTAGTGCCTTGTGTGATTTGCCTTGTTTTGTTTAGCGCTTTGAGTTGCCTTGTGTATGACCTGTGCTATGCAATTA